GGAAAGTGTAGGCCAGTTTCCCTGGCAGCGGCAGTGCTCTGTCTCAGAAGCAGGTTTGCAATCCTGACTGGACTTTCTGGCTAAAATCTACTTTTTGGCTCACATGGAGCATCTGAGTCTGCTGCTTGTTGTGACATGGCAGGAGTATGCGATGTATCAGCACCTGCTACAAGTTCCCAGACCTTCCAAAATCTCCTTGGTATAACATAGCCTGTTCAGAAGCGCTGCTGTGATTGATGAGAAGCACCAAACTGGGCTGTGTCAAGCTAGAAGTTAATTCACAATTGCAACCTGTATTGAAGAAAATATGGGTGTGTAGAACCCTTTGATTCTAAGTTGCAATATTTTTATTATAATTTCCGTGGGGTGTTTTTTAGCAACATGTGAGGAAATGGCTTATATTTCCTGGTCTTTCTGTACTCATAGAACTTTACTTTGAGGTCTGTCCTCAAATTGCCTTTGTTCTTTGTCGGAATACCAACCACTGAAGTGAAGGTACTTCAGTGGACACACACAGGTAACATATCATTAGTGTGTGGAAAAGTTTAAAGAGAGCTAGGTGTATTTTTCTAGGCTTCTTAAGAGTTTGGCTGAAAGAAACTGTCAAAAGCAAAACTGTATGGATTCTTTGAGAAGAAATTGTCTTTTATTGGCTGAAGATATATTAACACAAGTAATAATGTTTTGGGACAAAAGAAAAGTTATGTGAAAGCAAGAGGACAAAAAAAAAAATAATGTGTTGGAGCGTATGTGTTTCATGTATGCTGTTTCATATGTATAAAAAAAGACAGTGGTTCCACAGGGCTAATATATAAGCTGTACAAATATAGATGGTATATGTTTTCCCTTGCTTGTTCTTAAGTATAAATGGTGTTCACATTCCTTGAATCATTAATCATATATTCATTCCAGCACAGAGTGACCCAAAGATGTTAAAAGCATGGTTGGAAAATTCTCCCTTTCTGTTCATTTCTTTCTTCATTCCCCCTTCTCCATCATTTCAGCTTCTCCATTCCAACCTACTTCATGTTCTGCCAGTTAGAGATTTCCCAGGGTAGGCACGTATTTTATTTTCTTAGTCAGAGAGCTCACATTTCCTTGGAGTCTCTTGTGACTGCTGTACTGTTATGGGCAACAAATGGGACAGAGTAAAGCTGCCTTACTCACTCTTCTTCAGTGCAGTCTTCTTCAGCTGCATTTTAAAAGCATGACTGAGCTGCAACCACATTTTGTAGTAGATTGGGTTCTGTGAGCTACGCGCACTCTTGATGGGCCCCTGTGGATATTTCTTATAGAAGAGGGCAGAGAGTGAATTGCAGGTACTCATCTGTTATGGGACTTCTCTACCTGCAAGGTGAATGTGCATAGAGAGGGCTAGCTGTGGACGCTGCACACATAAGTGTCTCTCTGCCTCTTGACCTGTCTCCAGGATCTGTCTCCAGCCCTGCATCTGTAGTAGAGGAACTGGGAAGTTTTTCTACCTGATCTTCAGACTCCAGAGCAATTGGGCTGGAATCCAGATGGCCAAGTTGCATCTACATGTGTTTGTGACCAGAGCTAAAACTAGCGCAGCACTGCTGTAGGAGATGGTCAGTGAGCTTGGGTGCTGCCAGGGTGAAATGAGAGCCTGCAGAGGGCTGGGACTCCATGTAGACAGCAGACTTCAGATGTAACTGGTGGAGATGTCATGATGTTTGCTAATACCCTACACCTAATAATACTTTCTTGGCTAATTAACACAGTACTGTTATCAGTTGTATTAATTCACAGTTATATCACTGCAAGAAACACAGAGCTACAATTCTATTGCTTATTGTTAATATTAATATTCATACACAGTTACACTACTACAAGTATTTCTTACAAACAAACCATTGTTAGTTAATTTTTTCTCATCAATCCTAATTTTGTTAGGATTGAATTCCAAGTTGCTATTTCTGTCACTGTAATCTGGGCAATTTTACCTCTGCAGATTTCAATTGTGTAGATGAGACATGCAGCCTTGTATCCAAAAGTTAGCTGTTTGCCCCATTGCCCAGTCACACTGTTGTGGCACCTTCCTCAGATCAAAACAAGCATGTCTGAATATCACTGTTGGTGTAAAACTCCTATAAATGTATGTTTCCTCGGGAAATAAACACTTTTATGGTACTTTACAGCTACACATCCCATCTCTAAATTGTAAACTTTGCTGATACACTTACATTTTATTTCCCTTTGTCTCAGTTATGCGCTCATGTGTAGAGTTCATTTTGTCAAGGTTTTACGAGGATCTTTAAAAGATCTATTTTTAAACTTTAAAAGTCTGAAACTCTAAAACTTGATACTGTAACTTCCCAATAATGTCAGACTAAATGAATGTGCCCTGATCTGCTTTTGAGAAATTGTATACATTCATAGATAATAAAGCAGAAAATGTTACGTGTGACTGAAAGGTCCCAGAGACCTCCCACTAACCATCAAAAAGTGAAGAAGTGGAAACTGAGCAATATGGAGAGCCCAGGTATAATACAAAGTAGCAACGTTGACACTGATCTCAAATGTTTTCCATTTATGTTCCCTATCTTTGAAGAAATCTTCCTGATGTTTCATCGTCTTAAGAATATATGTGCATTAAAGGACTGAAAACGAGAAGAAAAGAGAAAAAAAAACTTCCTAAGATTGTGGAAGAAAACAATTGTGTCCCCACATTCGCTGCTGGTATTTTTAAAGCATGCAAATTTAAAGGTTGGGTGATGGATAGTACGCGGACAATAGGCCTTGAACTTCTTCCAGTCAAAATAATATTAGCAGCCTCCAGGTTCTTTTTTTTACAGGCAGACAACTATCTTGCCATAGTTTTCTCCTTAGCAACAGTTTACCAAATTTAGAGACACCCTGTTAATTAAACAAACAAACAAAAAATCTTATTGTTCTCCTTGCTGTTTTCTCAGCAGGCATCACTGAAGTCTCTCATGATTTAATTGCTGCACCTGTCCGTTTGTTACTGCAGTTTGTTAGGCTGCAATATGTTGTTATTTACATCTCCAAAACATTTCTATAAAAGTTTGGGATTAATTCTGATGAGTGGCTGCACTGCTTATTACACTGGTTTCCATGCAGACGTGTGCCCTGCAGTGGTGTAGGTTCACACAGGCATTACATCCACGTGGCATGCATAGAAACAAATAGAACTATTCTTCATTTGTGAAAAGGCAGGGAGGAGAAACTCTGAAATTAAGGGTTCTGAGGGAGAGATGTACATTTCATCTGTGAAAAGGAAGAAATAAAGACATAATAAGCTTGTGACCATCCAGTCATTTAGTCAAAATGGACCAACCTGAACAAGTTGTTGGAGTTTATAAAATGGTCTGGGCTTATTATTTCCTCCAAACAATAGTCTAAACAGAAAGTAAAGTTCAGAACATGACGTAGGGCACTGTTACCTCTGTGAAATAATTTCCTGAATCCAACACCTAACCTCTAAATAGCTCGGGGCATGGTTTCAGTTCTGTGGGCTTGTTTCTGCAGCATGGAATGCCTACTTGTTTCATTAAAAGTAAATACAAAACTGAAACAAAAGTATTTTAATATGTAAAATGAGTTAAAGTACAGACAGGAATCCTCTCATGACAAGCATAATGACTTGTCTGGGAAACTCTGCATTGCTGTTGCCGTAAGTTTAAAAGCCTGTTGCATAAATACCATCAAAGGAGGGCTTAAGCAATGTCTGCCAGATACCTGCTTCGTACCTGTTACTTATTTGGCTCGCAGAGTGGAATCCAAAGCCTGGAGCTGTGTTTTCAGGATCTTGATAGTGTAAAGGGAGAAGTGAATACCTGAGAAATCAGCCCCATGTGCTGAGCATGGGTTGATTACAGCTGCATGAAGAATGCTAAGCATGGCAGTGCGGGTCCCTCTCTCTGCTTCAGGTCCTTGACCCAGGGCTAGAAGCAGGAGTGGCAGCATTATGCCTTCGTGAGCCACAGCATGGCAGCTTGGAGCACCTGCCTTGTTTTGAAGGCTTCTTTCTACCAGCAGCAGTGCACATGAAAATCAGCAGCAGCTCTGAATGAGGGACTTGGGCTCCAGAACATCTTTCCTGTACTGTCAGGCTTTGGCCCTATTTCTTCTAACTCATCGTTAGTGACAGGGAATCATTGTTTCCCTTTCTCAGCTACTTAAGCTGCTAGGGCACTTTCAGGGGTTTAAGACCTGCAGTGGGCCATAGGTCTTTGCAGTATTCCTAATCATTAAGTTACAGTTTTAAAAGTTACACCACAGCATGCACAGCATCTCTGCTGTTAACATTTCTGAACAAGAGTAACTGTGGCTGCTGCCCTAAGTGTGCTAGGTGGAATCTGAGCTGGGCAGTCCTGTGGAGTCTTCCCAGGGGTTTGCATGGAGTAGAGAAAATCTTGTGATCAGCACATTTGCAGCCCAGGCCAAGATGGCTCTTGGGTTAGTTTGGAATTCTAGGTCACTATGGTTGGCTACTAGCAAGTTTTGGGTGTCTCTAGAACAGAGAGTCATTGAAAAGGAGAGGGCAGAAGCTTGGCTTATGATTTTGAGCATGATATCCAAGTCTTCTTTTATGTCCACCCATAAATATTGTAAAATATAGCAGTGATTCAGATCATGCATAGAAGGATGTGCTGCATTGTGACCTAGGACTTAATCCATGTCCCTGAAGAATTCAAGCAGCTGTTCTTCTGTGACATGGTATGTGTTGCATGTGTCGAAGAGATAGGTGAGATATTGCTCAGCATGGAGCTGCAGCATTTTGAAAATGTGGAAGGAAATGAATAGAGTGATATTATATTTCCAAGAACTGGAAATCCTCTGACTGCTGCTCTGAATGCAGCTTTTAAGAGGGCTCACCAGGAAGTCGTAGATCCATAGATCATAGTCATCTAATCCCGGTCTTTGCAATGAATCTACTAATTAACATTTATTATATTGTGCCAGGTATTGTAATTGATGCCAATTAATTTTTGTCTTTTGTCTGTTCTGGCTTGCAGGGTGGAAAGAGTTACACAGGACCATGTGGAGGAAGAGACTGCAGTGGAGGATGTCAGTGTTTCCCTGAAAAAGGAGCCCGTGTAAGTAATATATTTTCCCACAGAAAGATCTTCATGCCATCAGCTCAGTGCCATTTGCTTTAGGTAGACTTGCATTAGAGTACTGGGAATATTCAATTTGTGTGGGTTTTTTTGTTGGGTTTTTTTTTTTTCAGGAAAAAGGTACTGTTGTTGCATCTTACTTCCTTGAGAGGAAGTAGATTTGAAAAAAATACTTTGTTATGAAGTATAGCAGATTATTCTTTTAAAGCTAAGGGTCAATGGACCTCACAATGCTAAATGATTGTTAACAAAATCACCCAATAACTTTCTTGAAGTCTTACTAACGAAATTGTATCTGATGAAAAGATACCTCATACAGGTGGTTTCCATTAAATCAGATGGGAAGCAGGTCTGCGGGACTTGAAATTCCTACTGGAAGGAAACTGCCTGGGACTTTCTGGCATTGGGTTGTTTCTGGTACTCATTTCTTTTAGGGAATAAAGATGAGAGGCAGAGAATGGGAGATGTGGTGGAGGCAACAAGCCACCTGCCCATAAAGCTCTGAGCAGTTGGGCAGTTCTTTGTGGCTCAAAGTCCTGGCTGGCAGGCTCCTTTTGTTCAGCATGGTCTTTTGTAGCTGAGACAGTGACTCAGCCTTTTCCATCCACCCATTCCTAAGAATAGGCCAGGCAAGAGATGTGGCAGATCATATGCTTTCTGCTATCTCTCTTATTTTCTTCCATTCAGTGGGCTGTCAGTTCCCATTCCCATCACATTCCTCAAGCTTGACTCCACGTCTGAGTGGAAGAAGAGATTGGTAGCAAAGTCACTGTGTAGGTGGAAGGCAAGGAACACTTTTGTTTACTGCAGAAGTCCTGATGTCTCTGTGGAAGTCAGATGATCCCAGGGTTACCCTGTCATGAGCATTGCAATTGTTATACTCCCTTTTCCTGACCACAGTCTGTTCTTGATCAGCTTCCCATTGCAATAACCTAATGACAAACTGACGACACTGAGGTCAAATAAATCCTTCCCCTGAGGCACAGCTTCTGCAGGGGCTCTCTCCAGCTGTTATTGCCCTTCCCTGATCATTCAGCACATGAAGCTTAGCAGATGCCTCCTGCCACTCCCCTGCAAGGGCACTGAAAGCCTACTGTTGCTGGGTGAAATGGCTTTAAGTATAATATTCTATGCTTCTCTTCAGTGGGATTTTTTTTAGTTGTTCTAAGGTAAAGCACGGACCTACTAGCTCTCCACTAATGTTCATGAAAATTGTGACTTCTGTGACTAACGTATTTTTCTCCTTTCTTTTGTCTGTAAATAACCCTTAATTTCAAGCTGCTACATCTGCAGGAGAAGAGAGGTAGCTAAACAAAAGCAATTGCATGGGTTAGAAAAGCTGGAAATGTGAAGCTATCAAAGCAGAGAGTCACTCAGGTGCCACAAGTTTAGTTACTTCATATCTAGATTAGGAGACAAGGGCATACGCTGTGTACTCACTCTCCACTCTCACTCTTTCACTTACGTCAGGGAAGCAAGTAATCCCATTAACTAAACACACTGATTAAATAGGCACTGAAAAAGGGAAAAAGAGGATGTTATAAAACATTGATTACATTTTTCATTGATTACATTTTGTGGTTAGTGGTGGAAATTGTGAAGGATTACAGGGGAAAGTGATTTAAAGACTTCAAAAATTGTATTTAAATTCTCTGCAACTATATACCTCATTCTGAGTCAGCATAGTGTGCATGTATTTTGTGTCTGCTTCTCTCCTCAGATGTCACAACCTTGGTGAAACATCTGGTTTAAGAAATAAGAGCGGCCTTTAGAGACTAGTCAAATTTGGCATAGCTTCTGGTCTCATGCTCAGTTCTCAATGGGAATATTTATTTTCACAGAACCTCTGTATAATCTGGCACGACGCACATTTTCTTTTTGAGGTGACTCATTACATGCACAATAGACATATTGCATGTTTGTACTTGTAAGAATGCCTGAAGCAGCTTGCTGGAGCCTGCTTGTTTGGTGACTCTGTGTCAGGTACCACACAGCTGTCACTTGCAGGGCGTCTGGAATTCAGGTAGAAGCAGTGCTGAAAGAGCCAGCAGCCAATGGCAATACCACTGCCCTGCCATACAGTGTAAGTGCACATTCTTCTCATAGCACATCTCTCAAAACCAGGCAAACAAAAGCACTTTCTTCAGCTTCCTGCTGCTGAATGCATATCAGAAACTGTTGAATGAAGTAAATTCACTGGAGTGGTAAATAGTATTGCAAAAAGGAAAAGGTCTGAGAAAAGCTCTATCTTTTTATTCATGTATGGTTCTGCTTCATTTTCTGCCTTTGTTTCAGTTACAATCTTAAGGTATGGCATTTAGACAAAGATGCTTTTCCTTATTGTCTTAATTCAATTACACTGTGTTAAAATAGTGAAATATGCTCAGTGCTATATTCTGGGGGCTCTGTGCTAGAGGTACAGAGGCACTGTCTGTCCAGATGTGTGAGGATTCAGCCAGACTCTGGTGATGTGTGCCAGGTCTCCAGATGCATGATGGCTGGAAGCCCTGTGGTTCTATCTGCACGGCTTTTGGTCTGAAACTAACTCTTACGTGAAGGCACAGAGAAGTTGAATCGTGTCAGGAAGGCAGTTTCTAGGGACTAAAGGCCACCTAGCACAAGTCAATGCACCCAACAGGCCTGCCAAAAAAAAAGAATTATGGTATTCCTAGGTTATGATTTTTCCTATTTCCAGCTTTTTGTCCTGTTCATGACTGAGCTTGGCCATGAAGCTTTCTCTGGGCACAGATGGAGCAGAGTGAAATCCATTGGGGATGTGAAAATGAAGTGTCAGAAGCTTGACCCACTTGCCATAGTGGTGAGAAAACTCTGCAGCAAGGCAAATGGAGCAGCTAATGTGCAAGCTTCCACCTCTTGTTTGAACTGGGAGCTTGGTACAGCACTTTCTGCCTCATTTCCATGAGGAAGATAGATCTGATTCAGACCTTCAGAGAATCACAGGGCATCACAAGTGATGATGACTTCTGCAATTCACAGCTCAGAGAAGATTTTTCTAAAGGCGTCTTTCCAGGGCCACGCATGATTCCCTTGAAGTTGCCAGCTTCTGCCTTGCTTTTGAGTTGATGCCTCCAGAGCAAAAAGAAAAAAGGGAACTACTTCCATAAGTTGTTTTTTTTCTACTGTCTAATGACACCCGAGTCTTTGCTCCTGTTCACAGCAGGAACCTAATTCAAACCTAGGTGTGTATTTACTCTTAGCTGGATACAAATATCCAGTCTTTAAAGGTCTGATCATACCTTAAGGCCAGCTGCGCAGTCATCCAGCCATTCTTGCAGCTGGGAAATCTCTCAGCAGAGATACAACGAGAATCCAACTTCCTGCAAGAGGGTGCTGACCCATGCAACAAGCAATTGTGTATTCAAGCCTCAGGTGGAGGGCGCAGAGTGACAAGGGAGAAGGAGAACAGCCTCATCTTCTCATTAACTAATGTGTGAAGAAAAGGTGCCTGGATAAGACAGGAAGGAGAAGAGGGAAGCACTGACGCTGTATTGGAATTCTACTTTAAATGAAGCAGAAGCTTTCAGCTGAAGGAAGGGGGAAAAAATGGATAAACTTCTGTTTTCTTTCCTTTTCCTCCTTTCCTTTCTATTGCAGCTTTTAAAATTTTGAGAGTTAAAGTTCTTTGCAGACGGTATAATGGGCAGAGATTGCATCTATTGGTGCATATATACACACCTTTCAAGTCTGTTAAAACATGAATGCACTTATGTAGGAAACGGTAACTCCTTTCAGTACAATGGCCAACTGTTTGACTTGCTGAAGTTCATAATCAACCTCACTTCATAATCAACCTAGAGGGCTTTGTAGAAAGTGGAAATGAATAGCAATCTTCTTGATCTTTCTGTAGAGAAAAGGCACTCTATTGAAATCCAGCTTTGTACTTTCCATGTGAAGCAAGTGTCGAGCACTGCTTGCGCTGTTGTTTTTACAGGGGACTGCAGTAATGGTAACTTGAAATGAAAGGACAGCTTCGTGTTCCCATAAAGGCCATTTTATGGGAATGCCAAAACATTTCTTTTTAATCAGGACTAATTCAGTAAATGAAATTTAATTCACTAAAGCTCCTTTACAGATATTTGTTGCATTGCTTTCACTAATGCAGTGGCCAAGGTTACGTTATTATTTGTTCACGTACAATCATTCCTGTCTGCTTTTGAGTGCTATACAGTTGTGAAATCCAGTGTCTGATCTTAACTTACAAGCATTTTCCATACAAGCTTAAGTCTTAACACATGGACTACATCAAGCAGATGTTTTCTTCTGTAGTTAAATGAAGTCAACAAAATGCAACACGTAAATATTCTAAAGTCACTTCCATTCTTATATCCTTAGGGAAACCGGTTAGTTAAAACCAGTAAAATAATTTTATTAACTGCTAATGTAATTTTTGAACTTCACAATAAACCAGGTTCTCAGGTGATATAATGGCAGTAGCTCAACTCATGGTTAGTGTAAGTTGATATATCTGATATTTTACCCTTTTTTAACAAAAACATGAGAAATTTCTTCCCATCATCTGCCTCTAGTACATCTAGCCCATTACTCTGTCTAAAACAGTGATGGTAGAATGTTCTATTTAGAGGGAGTGCAGAGATCTGAAAACCTTCTGCAGTCCATTCCCTTGTAACCAAAATCATACTGTTAGAGATATGACATATTTCTATATTTCTTCAGTATTTACGTTTCTCCCTGAATTTATCCAATCCTTTCCTGTAGCTGCTCTGTGTCTTTACAACTTCCTGTAGTACCAAGGAGTTCACTAATCAAATAAAATGAAATTACTGCCCAACATCTATTTACTTCTGGTTTCATCAAGTATACCCTATTTCTAGTACTGTAAGTTTGGGAAAAGAGCAGTTCTACATTTACTTTGCTTCCTGCTTCCAGAATTATGTAAATCTCAATAATTTCCCCTCTGCACTTTCTCTTGCCCAAAAAGCTAGATTTCCAGCTTTCTG